CACTGTATCACTGATGACCAATATTTTACCTATGAAGAAAAAGAGATGAAAGAAAGATCAAAAGCTTAAACGAAAATCTTATAGTACTGAATTTGAATTAGAAGTGTCACTATATACTCATGATACATTTCATCTGCTAAATATATGTCATATAAATAATTAAGTGTATGTACATGTATTTCCTAGTTCTGTCTACTAAAGGGTCTACAAATAGCAACAAACACAGTAGCAAAGATCATCTACAGTATCTACACTGAGGTTTCCAAATGTAATTTTCCTCTATACAGTACCAAGCCTTCATGAAGAAATGGCTGATTCCAGATCAAGGGCAGGAAATGTACAAAATAAACCTAGTACATCTTGTTATGCCAGAAAGCACGGAGCTATCAAGGACTACTAAAGTCTTATCAAAAGACTCAAAAACCAATTTGAAGAAGCTAAAGATACAATGATTTGAATATCGTTACTAATAACCGCAAGTGATTAAAAGATTTCAATCGTGTTTATTCCCACAAATTCAAAATGATATGTATTTACCTCCCCCTAACAAATCCCAAAACAAACCTTTGTCACCCTTGAAGGATGCTAGGGAACCACCTCTTTATTTTGAAAACTGGTGAACAAAGGGAAAGAATGTAATATTTATCCTTCTTTTCCTGAGCGAATTGTATCTCAGGGTTACTAAATGAGTGTTGAAGAAAATTTTCTCTTTCTAGGGACTAAATGAAGAAGGAATGACATACTTGGAAAATAACCATTTGTAATCCAAAATTACGAAATAATGAATCCAGAAAATAATCATCAATGGATGTGAACATCCAAAAGAGAGAGACAACTAGAGGTTTTCTCTGCTTCTGGATAGATACACACAACACTACCTATGGAACATTATTACCAAAAAATAGTAGTTGAATCTGATTAAGGCTCTATCCAACTACCAAGTTACAAGAAATGCAAAAGATAAACATGCTAAATATTACCATGGAAATTCAATGACCAAAATCCAGACTGGCAGACACTCTATACGAGAAAAGCCTAGTTTCTTAACAAATAAATAATTAGAGAAAAACAGACAAAGATAGACAGATAATAGAAGAGAACCTATAGATTTAAAGAGATTTAAGAATCACAACAGTTATTTGCATAATATGGACCTTATCTGAATTCTGATTTACTCAACCTATAAAAACACATTCTGACTCCAGACTTTGAAACAATTAGGGAAGTTGGAACATTGACTGCATATTTAATGCTCTTAAGGAATTACTGTTCAATTTTAGGGTAGTATGATGGCATTGTGCTTATGGCTACAATAAGGAGGCCTTACTTTTAGATTTGCATAATGAAGTATTTATAGATGAAATGATAAAATGTCCAAGATTAATTTCAAAATAATCTGATAGGGACAAAGTAGATCACATACAGATAAAACTAGGTTAGCTGTGAATTGATAATTCTTTAAAGCTGGGTGATAGGTACTGCTCTCCCTACTTGGATAACTAGTAGGGCATTAAAAAGTGAATTTAAACACAAGATTAAATGAAAAGACAGATTTGGAAATCATTACAAAAAAATCAGAAGGACTTGGCAAATGCTATGCAAGTATCACCAAAGTGGAGTGCTAAGGCAAAGTAAATACATTGTTTGGGAGGTTGAACGCTTATGAAATAGCAGTCACATCTCTTCTAATTACTTCTTCCATGCCTCACTAGTAAGACAGGTTAGGGTTTCTTACAAATGCCTCCTAACACAGAGGAGACAGTCATCACAGGCTGACTCTCCCAGGAAAGAATACATTCCAACAAGATCCAGATGCAGCCACCAAATGAGAAGAGGTCATAGTGGCAACAGCAAAGGTGAGAGAAAGGCCCGGCTCCAGGCAACGCGGTTGAACTAGGGCCTCTTCTTGTGGCTATGTGAACCCGAGGACTTCAAAGCCTCCCATGAATCTGTGCCAGTGAAGCTGTATGAGGCATGACACAGTCATCAAAAATGGGAAAGAATCCCTTTGGTGGGAAAAGAAGACTAAAATCTCATATAGTGGGTGTGCTTATTTTTACTTATGTTATTTCCTGTCATCATTATATATTTTAAATAATAACATTAGAATCTGACTTTTTAAAATTAAAAATATTATAAAAGTGATTTTTGAGGCCTACAGAAGAATAATTATAGGAGCCTGCACTATGAAAAGAAGACCAGGAATTGTGAAAGAAAAACATTCTGAATCTAGAAACATAAAGGTAGGATTTGAGAGCCAGGCGTAGTGGCTCACGCCTGTAATCCCAGCAGTTTGGGAGGCCGAGGCAGGTGGATCACCTGAGGTCAGGAGTTCAAGATCAGCCTGACCAACATGGCGAAACCCTGTCTCAACTAAAAATACAAAAATTAGCCAGGCATAGTGGCACACACCTGTAGTCCCAGCTACTTGGGAGGCTGAGACAGGAGAATTGCTTGAACCCAGGAGGCGGAGGTTGCAGCGAGGCAAGACCGTGCCACTGCACTCCAGCCTGGGCAACAGAGTGAAACTCTGTCTCAAAAAAAAAAAAAGTAGGATTTGACACTCTAATTACTTATGATGACATTATCTTAGTTTTACTTTTTTTCCCCAAGAAATCATGGAGTTCATATCAGTGATTCTCAGGAGGGGACTGCATATTTCACAGGATAGAAGAAAGTGTAAGAAGTAAGCATCTGCAATTTAAAAATAACTCCAGGTGATTTTGACATACCTGTACCCCCGTAGAGGACCTGTCAAGGACCAGTAGGGTGACTGGCCAAGGCCTGTGTGTTGCTAAAATGCACCTGAGATAATCAACATGGAAAGCTGGAGATTACTGTTTTAAACACCTCTGGAAGGTAGGCAGAGCTGCAATGTCAGAGGATAACGAAATCCCCCTGAACTTCCTTACCACTCACACCACTGCCGCGGATGAGCAGCTCTGAACTGTGAGGATGGTTCAAGGAGGGTCAGAGGGGGTTCCACTGCAGACCATCTTCTGGCAAGCGCGTGTATATATCTGCCTACCTGCACCACTGCTCCCATTTGGCTGAGGGACAATAACAGGCAGATGATTACAGTGCTCTTTGCAGTCAAACTTGTGAGCATCATGGAAGAGTGCTTGAAGAGGGTCTAATTGATGTCTGGCCACATCAATCTGGCACCTGCACCAAAAACACTTTTTGTATCTCTGTAATTTTCTTTCATCACCAACATATCTGAGACTGTTACGGCTTCTGATGATGCTGACTAGTTCAATTTGGACAAAACATGCATACCAACAGCAGCACCCCTCATGACAACCAATCCTGAGTTTCATGCCAGACAGGTTTGTTTCTTTCATAATTACAGTGTCCACAAAACTGTTCTTCCTCCAGTAAGAAGAGGGGGCTGACTGATGTAGATGGTGCCTTCTATGCAGCATGTTCAAAAATGCAGTGCACTGAGCTGAAATAAGTAGCCAAATGCTACACATCTTGTAAATAAGAAGGGTCTTGGTTTCTAAGATCCTTCTCACTGAGGGCTCTCCTAACTACACAGTCAGATATACAGTGAGGCCTACAGTCTGTAGAAGAGCCTGAACAACAGGTGAAAAAGAATGCCCTCCCAGCAACCCTCCATCACCACAATTCTGTACAGCCTACAGAATTAAAATACAATAATATCAGGTAATGCTTCAAACTTGCTAACTTTCAAATTACTCAAAAGTCACACAAATTATTAATATTTATATTTAATGTTAAAAGTATATTCATAACAAAATTAAAACCAAGGCAGCTATTTCAGTTGAGCTCCAAATACTCTCTACATTGGAAAATTTTCCACTCCTGCTACTTTATTAATATTATTCTCCCAAATTTCCGTAAGTAAAGGATTAGGCTTTAGACTCAGCAGATGTTAGGAAAATTTAGGCTATGACCATTTAAAGAGTTAATAAACATTTGCAAGTTACACTCATCTTTCTCATTATAGTTATTCCCATGCTTTTAGGTCAATATGGACATGTGTGCCAACATGAACAAAACTTGGGAAGGAGAGGTGACATGAGTCCCTTTGTAAAGGTACAGAATTCTATTTTAGACCACAAGGCAAGGTCATCTTATCCCCACACCAGAACATACAAAGTCTCTTCTCAAAGGAAACTGCAATAAAGGGACAGAATCAAGGAGCTATTGATCTAAGCATGATCTTTGCAGCAGGTGAGTGAAAACCTATGGGCATGGGGGGAAAAAAAGCAGAATAAGCAGTCTGGATGGGCAAAGCTACTCATGAATGTCAAGACCTGGGATGGACTGTGCACAATGCCCAGACTACCCATTACTGAAAATAAAAACAAAACAAGACAGAAAACAACCAAGAAAACAATTACACCAAAATTTAAAATCCTCTTTCCAAATATCAGTCAGGCAGCATTTCCCATCCAATCACTTGACTTTTGCAATGACAATTCAAAAGTGACAATTCAGTCACTTTGGTCTTATTTAAATTATATGGAGGCACGTTCATGAGTTGAACTTTCTTGAGGCTACATCGGGCAAATATGAATTTATATATCCATGAAAAGAAGATACCTCCACAGCTAAGCATACCACTCCTATCAAATCAAAGGCCAAAATACCTGCACAGCCATGGAAAGTCTGAACATCCAACCAATATCATACAGACTTCTCTTCAAACTCACCTATCATTAAATCCCTTCGTGTGAGGGGCTTCACCCGACCATCACAAACATTCGCTACATAGCAAATCTGAATGAATTACCAAAATATTTTCAACTCTTAATCACTAGTACAACATTTACATTCATTCTTTTAAGTTCATTGAAATTGCTATTTTGAATACTTCTAAAAAAGGTAAGCCATTCCCTATGTCACCCAGCAATAAGGCATTTAAATCAACCAGAGTCCTTAGAACTGATTAAGATAACTTAACAGAGTAACAAAGTATTCGAAGATAAAATACATAAATATATATATATAAATGTAATTGTGATACTTACCTATCAGCCCCTTCTCAAGAGTGAAGGTTTTGTTTGTAAACATACATTCAAAAGCCACAATGTGAAAAATCTTGTTCACTGTGTTGTGAGTCCCAACAATTCGAATATACCTGATGGTAAAAAGAAAAGAAAATCTGTTGAAAATGAGCTCCCACCACAACCAATCCAAGGATACCAGAATAAGACACGTCACTTAAACATATAGTACACCAGGATATAGACCAAAGAAAGGATACTCTAAGCTTGACCTCAGACCCTGTATCGGCTCCTTATGGGTAGCTCCAATTGAACCTAGAAGAATTATAGCAAAATAAGGGAGATGTCATTTTGCAGAAAATTAAGTAGAACTTAGATTGGATTTACCCAAAAAAACCAAACCAATTGAACTGTTCAGTTCAACCCCTGAATGTCAGTCAGGTACATGACCTGAAGACATTTTTACCAGATAATACCACGTAGCTTCTGCTCTTGCCTTGTGGTTAGGAATGTGCGGGAGCACATGTGCACAATCAGATGCTTTCCAGCTCAGTGGAAGATTTCATCCATTGGAGATGAATGCACGAAATCAATATTGCTTTCTTCTTTAAAAGGAAAAATCCAGAAACTACTGAAAACTCCTCACAGTTTCTTTTATTTTAATAATGCTCCTAAATCTTTGTTAGGAAGTTAACCTTATACACTGACGCCAGCCTCCCACTTGACTGCTGGGAAGTCTCCTGACCAAAGGAAGTGATCTGCAGAGATGGCCCAGCCTGCTCTGCAGCCTCCATCCTGGCCACATCAATCTGGCACCTGCACACAGTGCAGAGTTTCACTGGGCAGCCCTTGAGCATCTTGGCCTGTTCATCCTCTTTAATTCCCTGGAGACTTCATCTCCAACAAACAAGCATTAACCTTGGAGTAACTTGCTCTCTTCACTCTCCAAAGGGACCTGACAGTTCACAGGTTAATGAACAGATAAACTCACTCTTCTGAGTGTCACATGACTCCACGAGGGATGTGCCACACACCGTCTTACTGGAATTCAAAGGAAGAACCAGGAAAAATAACTAGATTAACTGATAACGCCTCCCAAATTATGAACTATGCACTCTGAAGGATGGGGTATATTAAATGAACAGATTTCAATTAGGACATGACAGACTGGACAAGGTTTTAGTAATCTCCACCCCTCTGCTGTGTAAAACAACCTTCAATTTAGACGATATAATTTTACTTCTGAGTTAATCGCTATTCACTAATTCAGTAATTTCCTTACATTTCTCATCAGTCCAAGTTAACTGTATAATGTAAATGCCGATTTAGAAAATTCACATTAAGGAGACTATACTTGGGGTTTTTATATCATGGGCTATTTTCCCTCCTGATTCTTCAAGCCTGACTCTCATGGCATTCCCTGTGCACCTCATTTAGCCATCTGCTCCTTGACATGAGCTGATCACTCATCTTTATAACCAGTATTAATGCTATCTCCTGAACTGCCTGTCCAGTGTGCTCACACCTACTGCAGGGAGACACCACTCTTCCTGTGTTGAGAAACAAGGCAACTGCTACATGTACCAGAGCCCACTGGTTAAGCAGGAATTTGGCCCTAATCTGTTCCTTCAAACTCTCAAGGCAGACAGAAAGTACTGCTTTTACTGAGTTTGGGTGGATGGGTAGGTTCATTCAACGTAAGTTCTTACTGGTCTGGGTAGTAAAGACTATATTGTCCTTCACTTTGGCAGTGACAATCTCCCTGATGCTTTCTGGAAGGGAAGGAGTGTATTAATTCTGGCACCTTGGCCTGAATCTAATTTTGTCCATTTCCTTAAACCCACAGAAACTCAACCAGCATAGCATTTTCAACTGTATATGGCTGTGACAGCCTGAGTGCTGCTGTCTGCAACCTTGGAGGGAATAAAGGGAATGTGGTTTAGTGGAATTTGATCACATCATTTTGCTACTCTCTAGCTCAAATCTCTACCAAAGGAGAGACAGCTCTCCTACTGTGCACAGAAGAGCCAGGAAGTGACTAACAGGGTCTTTTCCCAATGGCGGTTCTTAAGGTTAATATATTCCAGGCTAACCTAAGAGGATTCAATAACCTTCCTTCCCTCCTGTTCTTTCTTTTTAAAACAATATATGGAATCAGGTTTTCCAAGTTTAGACAACTTATTTCCCAAATTTTACCCAGTGCAAACATTAGGAATGCAAGAAAATACGCAACCCTCCCCTCTCTCGCCCCGCAGTTATAAGCAACTGAGAATAAAAAGTTATACTGGAATACATTTTATACCCTTATGATAGTATTTGTGATAACAAACAAAATAATATATATGGTGGGAAACGCATTGAGAGATGCCTCCAGATAAAAAGTTCTGTGTAAATGAAGATAATGTTATCTCTGCTGCATAATCCTGAAGTCAAATGAGCAATTCACCATTATATATCACACCTTCTGATCAGCCTGTTATATGCAATGCTCACAACAAGTTTAATTATTCTACTTCTACAATGCTTTCTACGTCTCTAGAAAAAAAAATTATAGCATAATTTGCAAAAATGGTGTAATGTCCCTACTCAAATACATATTTTAAAAAATGTGACATCAAAAGAAAGAAGCCAAGCTCCTTTTTCTCAAGCAAAAAGTCGCAAACATCCTGGACTTTCCCCATACTAAAGATCTAGCCTAGAAATGGCAAAAGGCTTCAACTAATGGCCCAACATCAATGACTGGAGGAGCAGCCTGAAACTCTACATTAAGAATTCAGGGCCAGGCGTGGTGGCCCTGTAATCCCAACACATTGGGAGGCCTGGGTGGGTGGATCACTTGAGGTCAGGAGTTCAAGACCAGTCTGGCCACCATGGCAAAACCCCATTTCTACTAAAAATACAAAAATTAGCCAGGCATGGTGGCATGCGCCTGTAATCCCAGCTACTTGGGTGGCTGAGGCAGGAGAATCGCTTGAAACCAGGAGGCGGAGGTTGCAGTTAGCTGAGATCGCACCACTGTGCTCCAGCCTGGGTGACAGAGTGAGATTCTGTCTCAAAACAAACCACCACAACAAAAAAGGCCCTGTCCAGCACAGGAGTAGTGCCTTGATCCATGAGCAACGACTGAAAGCAGGAGGAGGCAGCACAGGTACCATCCTTGATCACCAGCATATTTCCTTAACGGTGCTCACAGTGGAGCACCCCAAGGTAAAAGAAGTTATTACTACCCAAGTTATTGAAAAATCCAAGGGATAGGAATGGGAGAGTCCTCTCTCTTTTTGCTTTTTTTGAAAAACAAAACAAAACTTGGTTTTGGGTCATAACACCAAAACTGGAGAAGTAGGTATCGCATTTTCTCTGTCACAAGAAATCCTGAATATAGGTAAAGTTTAAGATTTATTTCTTTGCCTTTTCAGCACAAGTCAGACTCTGATTTAACCAGATAATAAGGGCAGTGGCAGCCAGTGACTTCATCAGTGTGCAGAGAGGAGAACTGCTGAAAAATAGAACAAATATCCTTTGTTCTTGCTGAGGTCCTCAACAGCAGCTCAGACAGTTGGAAGATAATTAAAACTTAAACAGTGCAGAGGAAGGCAGATATGCAACAGATTGGCCATTTCTGATGAGGGTGAATGCTGTCCACGTGAACCATAGTGTAACAGTCTGTTTCCAATATTCTCCTCCCTTCCCTATGTTAGCTGTCTTCAAGTAGCTGACAGAGACTGGATACTGAACATAGTTCAGAACAGAATGTTTCAATACAGAAATTTCTAGGAGCTATAAGATTGTGGGTGAACGAGATTCTGTCTTCTTTAATAAAATAAAACTGAAACCTCCAAGGACAGCACTCTAAAACTGAAAGGCACTACAGAGTTTTGACACAATGTGGCTTTTAGCGTCCAACAGAATCAGGTTTGTAGCCCAGTTCCATCACTTAATTAAGTGTGTCACTAAAGGGGAAAAAAAAAAAGAAAAAAATATATATACACACACATACATACATACATACATTTTTGAGACAGGGTCTCATTCTGTTGCCCAGACTGAAGTGCAGTGGCACGATCATGCCTCACTGCAGCCTTGACTTCTGGGCTTAAGCGATTCTCCCACCTCAGCCTCCCAAGTAGCTGGGACTACAGGCATGCACCACCACACCTAGCTAATTTTTTATAGAGATGTTGCCCACACTGGTCTCGAACTTCTGGGCTGAAACAATCCAACTGCCTCAGCCTTCTAAAGTGTTGTGATTATAGGTGTGAGCCACCACACCTGACCCCCCAATTTTTTTTTTTAACTTAGTTTCCTCCTCTATAAAATGAGGTCAGTAACACGAACTTTACAGGGTATTTAAATGAGACAAGTATTTAAAATATCAGATGCAGTGCTTGGCAGAGTAGGATACCATTAAACAGAAATTCAAAGAGGAGATTACAGGATGCAGAATTTCTTGGTTAGGACGTTGAGAACGCTGGTTGTCTTGGAGAGTATAGTAGTTAGTCCCCCCTTACCTGTGGTTTGGCTTTCTACAGTTTCAGTTACCTGCAGGACGGTATCATATTTGGAGACAGCAAGAGGGAGAGAGACTGCATTCCCGTAACTTTTAACAGTATATTGTTATAATTGTTCTAATTTATCATTAGTTATTGCTGTTAAACTCTCACTGTGCTTAATTTATAAATTAAACTTTACCATAGGTATGTATGCATAGGAAAACATACAGTATATATAGGGTTCAGTACCATGCATAGTTTCAGGCACCAACTGAAGGTCTTAAAATTTATCCCCTGAGGATAAAGAGGGGATTACTGTGTTACTGACTTTAGATGTTAAAATGGTGCATCTATGAGAGGCAGGCCAAGGCAAAGACTTCAGGAACACAGGAAGGGGCTTGTCCTTCCTCTTAGGGCACTACAGTATGGGGACTATGGGCCATAGACATTCAGAAAGCAAGCAACATTCAGAATGTAGATTTCCTGGCTCTACGGCACTTCTCGCTTTAATCCTCTAGCCTTTAAAAAAATGTTCTTGACCTGTCTTAACTAAGCATGAGGAAGCAAGGGAACAATCTTCTGCCCATATTTGGGTTTAAAGTTTAACGTATCTTCTCCCTTCCTCCAACCCAGGATCCCTTCTT